TGTTAATTTGGTTTCGGTTCAAAACCAGGATCCAGCTCGGAATAATTTGCCACCCGTTATTATTGTAATAAATTTTAAAAGGAAATTTAAAATATTTCGCATTAACTTTTCTTAACTAAGAACCATTTTAAATATTTTCAGTGTATTTTGCATTCCTTGATAACGCAAGCTTCGAGATTTTGAAATAAATTAATTTCGATTAAATTAAAAAATTTCTTACTGGCAACACAAACAAGAACAACTGAAAACCGTCATATCCATTTTTTTTTTTTTTTGAAATCGTATTGCTAATCAATTTTGGTTAGAATGATGATCTTAAATATATATGGGACCTTTTGGGGAAAAAATAAAAAATGTTAATGCTAAATCCGAACATATTTTGGCCCAAAAATAATATTTGAATGGTTAGAAAAATCTATTACATTCATAAAGCCTGTCAAAGAAATCTGACCATATAATAAATACTATTGAACAGATACAGCCCGAAATGAACCCTCAGTATTTGAAAAATCAAGTATAATAGGAAGAAAATACAGAAGTAGCAACAAGTACCCTAGAAATTCAAATGCAATTCTGCCCCTAAAATACTTGGTGAAACGGAGTGATTTAAAACATCACGAGAGGAAATTTTGCAATTATTACGAGTTATCTAAAATAATTAGACCTTGCAAAAATAATTAGCTGTCAAAATTACGTTGGACGTTGTATTAACAAACTAAAAAAACTAAAAATAGTGACATTAACCTTTAAATGAGAACGGTTATAAGTACATGAATCAAGATTATTAGATCTCCAAAAAACTCTATTTACAATGGATTATGCTGATCAGTCGAATGGGTGAAGGTTGGACAAAATTAATAAAATAAATCCAAATTTCATTTTGCGGCGGGCTCAACTATCAAGCACTTAATTGAAAGTTTCGGTTATAGTTACACAAATTTTTCAAATGTATAAATTGCGGGACACCCGGCAATTTTTTGATGCCGGGTTGTCGGGTTGTCGTTATAATAATAAGCCGATAATTAACCGTGAAAAGAATAATTTGCGGCATAAAAAATTGCTGAGTGTCCCTTTAAGCTAATCTTACTACATAGTATGCTGTTTCAAGATGAAACATCCCCCGATAAATGAATTAAAACAAGTAATTGAACGCTAATATTGCCGATCTATCGATTTCTTAAATATAAAAAGGGCGCGTCAAAAAAAAATAAATTTCTTAAAGAATTCAAACTTCAAAAATAAAAAAATTTTAAACCAAAATATAATTCAAAAGAAAATATAATCAAACAGAAACTTAATAACAATGCATTCAAAATTACTTGCCCTCTTAATGATGATTACATTGTTTTGCGCTTATATGACATCTGTCAACGCTGAACAGTGTCCGGATCCACCACCATTTTGCGACGGTATTTATTTTATTATTTTAAAAGTATTCATGTGAACTTTATATTACGTAAACTTACTTAAATTTATTGTAGGGATTGAGTCATGCGTCTTTAATCAAAATACCCAATCCTGCACATGTGGCTGTTGCGACGATAACGGAGAAAATTGCAAACAGAATTTTCCATAGTGAATTTAGTAAATTTCAAATATTTTTATTCTTTTTAAAAAATATCATTTAGTATATATATATTTGTTTTAGATGATTCATTTATTTTATTTCAATAATATAAAAATTGAATATTTATCATTTATCTAATCAACAATAAAAATTCTTTGAGTTCATACTTTAACAGTGTAGAAATTTTCTTTTAATTGTAATTAAATTACAAGATATAAATAAATGTAACAATGTCCGAATGCGTAAAAAGATTTTCCTGAATCAAAAAATTAAGAGTCCTATTTTACAATTTTCCTCAGTGATGAACCAATTATATTTTGATGCAACATAAAAAATTTTAAAATGATGATCTGCGGTTACAATCAGTTATTGACGTTTATTTTTATGATAAAGGAGTTCGATCTTTAAGTTGACAATTTTTCGAAAAATTCTTACTTTTTCTTTCCTATAAGTTCTTCAGATTGGATCGTTGGCACGGGTATCAGTGAGTTACATTTTTATTTTTTTTTTAAGTTTAGGTTCAGTCGGTTCGGAATGCATCGTTCGAATATTTTCTTCTTTATTCTTTGTTATTTGTTTATAATTTTGGGTTGGGTTTTTTTCCCTTGAATACTTTGGGGTGTATTGGTATATGAATTGATTTTTTCCAGTATATATAATTTGGAATTAATTAATCTTTTTCCTCTAACGCCATATTCTCCTTCTTTTTATGTCAAACCATAAATCAAAAAATCGGAGAGCTATGCTGTGAACCTTTATTATATTTTATTTCTGCAATCGAAGTCTAATAACGATTTCAAACGTCCTAATAACTATCCGAAATGCAGGACTTAACTTAGAAGCTTTTTACTGTTTTACAGAGTAATCATATTACTCTTCCGTCAGCGACTCGATGTTGTTAATGTCTTATTTCACACATTTGATTAAATATGATCCAAGCAGCTTTATTATGATATGCAAAAAAAAAAAAAAAAAAAAAGATTAATGGTTGTAGAGGTTGGAACCGGTTAAGGTTAACCGGTTAAGATATTTCAATAACCGTTAATTGGTTCTTCCAGTAATTCGTTGGTCGCTTGGTGCTTTAACCTGTTAAATTAACCGGATAAATTAATCGGATAAATTAATCGGTTAATTTAACAGATTAATTTATTATAGATCACCCATGGGCTATCGCATTAACAAATCATTAACAAATTAATATTTATTGACCATCCAAATTAAATTAAAATTTTGTAAAGACGCATCGGAAAAGTTAAAAGTGTAATTCATATTGGAAAATTCAAAAAAGGCATCATCCAGTAGTAAACCCTTGGTTTATTTATTAGAACTTATTTTTTAACATTTTTTAACGCATTATATTTACAAATTTAACTTGTTTTAAATATAATATTTATCATACTACTTTTTTCACTTTTTCAACGCTATTTTAAATTTTTTTATTATATTTTAAGAGGTAAGTACTATATTTATATATAAACTTTTTAAATTAAATAAGTTATATATATTTTTTTTTAACTTTTTTAAAAATGAGCGACGAGTTTTTAGAATATAGAGATATTGAAGACTCTCAATCTGGATCTTCAATCCAACAATCATCTGCACCCTCTACTTCAATTTCTAAAAGGTCTTCGATTCCTTTTTTACACAATATCATATTTATGAATTTAAATATACGACAATGAAATCTTTAATTCAGATTTATAACTAGGGAGGCCTGATGCATTTCTCCACTGCTACCACACCCAGCTGTCCAAAACTTATGGAAGCAAATCAACTCGAAAGAACCTAAATAGGGCAAAATTTTTAAAAAAAAAGAATTCATCAGTCACTGTGCCCAATAATAATCATAATAATAATAATTTGATAAAAAAAATTACCTTGCGATCCATCCCGAAAGAAATTATCAAACAAAAAAAAAATAAATAAAACTAATGTGGCCAACTCAACCATCGAAATTTTCGAAATTATCTTGAAAAGTAAAAATAAAGAATTATTTTTTTTTTTTTTTAGTATTTTTGGTTATAAAAAATAATAAAAAGTAATAAATTAAAAAATAAACCTTCTTATTGATTTTAGCGGTGTAGGACCGCAGTGTCGAACCAGTAAGTATTTAAATTTTTTTTAATATATTAAAACCACTGTCCAATAAATTGAATGTTATCATAAAGCATATGCATATGCGTAAAGCTTAAAGCATAAAGCAATAAGCTATAAGAATGATAGAAATAAACTGAAATTTTTGGTAAGTATGATCGTTAAAAATTATTTCCTTTCCAAGCAACGTGCCGCATGCTTTTCGGCATTCTTTTATTATGCTAAAAACAACGATAAAAGAATAATAATAAAAGCTTAATATATTACATTACAGGTCAATATGTAGGTAACTATTGGACTTCCCCTGCGTTCCCCATCAAACAAAATATATTTACCAAAACAAAAAGGTAACAAAAATGTTACCGAATATGTCAGAACAATACTTGAGACGAGATTTTAAATATTTTTCTTTAAAAAAAAAAAAAAATTCATTAGAGCCAGTGCCAGTTTCGAATGCTCGCGCGGCTCCTATATAGAATTAACGTTAAAGGGTGATTTAGATGATCGGTAAGCATATTGATCAAAACAATTATTTACGGAAATGAGACGATTTCTTTTTTTTAAAAAATAATTTAATGGATGATATGTTATATAATAATAGATGGTAACTTTTTATTAGTATTTACTTCAATTATAATTTAATCTAAACTATTTATTTTTAAAAAATATATTTTTAATGATTAATTATATATTAGTGATCGGCGGGGTGCATATTGTGTCGATCATAGTAAAATTCTTGTATTACCATAAAACTAGATTTTTTTTTTTGGTTATGAAGTCCTTGCGGACCTTTTTCTTATAATTATCGAACCATATTATTTTTTATTGTTTTTGCGTAATTGCAAAATCGGTCAGAGATTATGGGTATTAAGCTATTCATTTGAATTTATTTGACATATTCGTGTAGTATACAAGAACCAAAAAAAAAACCGTTTAAATATAATAAATCTATTATTATTTATTTGTTTGTTTTTTGCTGGAGTTCTCTTGTTGCTGAGCTGATTCCTTTTTATGCTCTTGATTATATCGGGTCATCCAATTTTCTATAGTCTTTATTTTTTGGTATTTCATTCACTTCTAACTCATCTAATGCTATTTTTTTTTGTAGTTCTTCAAGCATAGTGGAAGCAGTAAATCTATTTTCTTGTCAATGTCGCCTGACACAAAGTAAGTTTTGAGAAGTTGTTTTACTCGTTCGGTCAACTGCTTTCTACCACCACGTTTACCAAATTCTTGATGTTCACGAAGTGTTCACCCCAAATAAAAATAATTCAATTTGAAAAAAAAAGGGTGAATTACTGGCATTTTGATACTTATATCATACAAATAAACATTTTATTTACAACAATTCATTCTTTTCTAAATGATCCTTAGAATGAACTTTTTTCAATTTTGATCTTGATGCAAGTGTTTTAGCTGAAACTGATGGAATATTACTTTGTTCTTGTAGTTGGATTCCTACATAATGTTTTATAAATAAAAAAATATAAATAGAGACTGAAAGATAAGTATTATTATATATACTTTCTATCTCCCTTTGTGTTTCTTCTCCAATGTTTTTTGTAATATAGTTACTAATTTACATTTATTTCTTTAAATTAATATTTTGATTTTTTAATTCTATCTTGATAGCTTTTTTAGACCATCAGTTTGGATTTGATACTAAAAATTTGAAAGCAAAATTAGAAATAAGCAGGTACATAAAAACTTATTTTATAATACCTTTATTATTGGGTAATGGGATGGTCCATTCAGATTTTGGTTTAGTACGATCTGAAATTATTAGATCTGGCTTTATAAATTCTTGTTCTTTCATAACTTTTTTAATTTCATAAGGTAAAAATGTATTTCAAAAACTGAAGTTGAATAAAGAACGTATACAAAAATAACTAGTCAATTTATCATTTATTAGCCAAACAGAATATAACCATTTGGTAATAACTTCCAAAGTGAACATTACTTTTTTGGCCTTTTTTGAACACTCATTAGGATTAAGATTTGCAATAAATGTTCCTCAAATATCTTTAATTGCATCAACTTTATCATTACTACTTTGAATATTATATTCAAAAAGTATATAATATTTATAATATATGCATCTAATAATTTAGTTTTTTATTCAATATATTATATATAGCTTATGAGAAATATAAATAAAAATAATTACCTGTGTATAGTAAGAGTCTACAGTAATTATGTTTCACTGGATTCTAAAAAAATCTATGATTTTACTTCTATATTATACTATTTAAACCATTGACTAATAATTATCAATTTTTTATTATGATAGTATGTTCTATTATCAGATAAAATTTCAATTTAAGTAAATCTTTTTTCTATTATTAAAAATAAAGTATCAAAAGAAGATACTATAAACCAAGCATCTTGTATTGGATCTGCTGGCCAATGATCTAAAACTTCAAGATTTAATATAGTAGAATTATTAGATTTTTTGTATATACTAATAAGATATGTAATGTAAATCCTTTTTTTCTAAAAAAATCTGATTTCACTTCTCGTGCTGATTGAGATAATATTTTCATTTTATAGTCAGCTATAATAATAATACCATTTTATCTAAATAAAGCAATGCTGTATTAAATTGTGCATTAAAATAAGTTTTCTAGCTTAATGAGTCCAATAATATTGCAATTTAGCATAATTTTCAATAATTCATTCTTTTTTATTAGGAATAATTTATAGAATTTGTTGAAAAATAAAATCAACTTGATAATATTTTTCATAGCATTCTGAGTGTTTTTCTTTATAATCTTCAAATGTAAATTTCAAATAATGTTCAATGCAATTATCATATTATATATATCTCAAGATATCTATTACAAATATTTTTCATATTCTCATTTCAAATAATATTGAATTATTTCAAATTTTTTATCCATTCATTCTAAATGTTTAATTAAATATTAAAATTTTTATCAATTATTTTATATAAATAGATCTAAGCATTCTTTTCTTCAATTTTTTCACAAACAAGCATAATCATATTCTCAAAAATACTAAATTTATATTTATTACAAATTAAATATAATTCACCAAGATCATTATGATAAATAAATCTACGGTCTTTAAACATATTATAAAAACTGTTCTTTTTATTCTATTTTAATATAATTCAGAAAATTGATGTCATAATAATTCTTTAATATATTTAAAATACATTATAAGTAAGCCAGTTGTTGTATCAACTTTATAAAAACTTAGTATTGTAATATTTGTATTAAGTAAAAAAATCATAAATTGATCTAATGATTCTTTTGATAATCTTTCTCTTGTAATTATAGGTTTACATAATGCAAGACAACCAGAATTATTAGTATTTGCATATAATCAGACACTAAATACAGTTTTTGAAGAAATCTAAATTATAAAAAATAAGTATTAAACAATTATTTTATATTTAATTTTAAATATATTAATTACTTACATTAAGTTTTTATTCTAATTTAGCAAATGTAAATTTATTTGTAATTATGGATAGAATTCAGATAATCTATTTTGTCCACTTTTATTTTTGTAAAATATATCCTTAAAACATTTCTATAACTTATCATTTGTATTATTAGAAGGTAATATTAAAAATCCTTGAGAATGTAATTGGGTAAGTATACATCAATCTCATAATATATTTAGTGAACGACTCCAAAATTAATACTGTTTTTTTTAATAAATTATATATAGAAAAATTTGCTAATTTATTAAATAATTTTAATTTTAATTTATCATATTTTTATTTCTATAAATGGAGTTATTTCATAATAACCTGCTGCTTTAAGCATTGCTTTTTATGCTCAAAGTTCACATTCTTTAAAAATATATTGTGATAGATAAAGAGTTGCTAGAGTACTATTAAATTCAATTATTGTATTTAGATTATTTTTCTAATCAATAAAAATTGATACCATTAAATATTTGTTATAGTTTATCAATGAAGAAAGTGATTATAAAAATAATTCATAATATTTTTATTATGTTAAAAAGATTCGTCACATTTAAAATTTTAATTTTCTGATAAATTTTGTTGTATTAACAGATGTTCTAATCTAAAAAGTTGCATTCTACAAAATTTTTCAATTTTTTAGATACCTTTCAAATATCATTTAGACTGATACTAACAAAATATTCTTTTAATATACCATCTTAATAAATATTAATATGATATCCATTCACATTAATTTGTTGAATATATGTTGCATATTTTCTTAAATATTTATTGATAAATACTATTATATATTCAACTCCAGTTCTAAAATTATCAGAACATTCTAAAGCAGTTATATATATTAAGCAATACCAAATTAATTTTCTGTTTTATATTTTCTCCCCTTTATTTTTAAAAATTTTTGAAAAAAAATCTATCAATAAAATTGTAATATTTATATCATATTGTTAACATTACTCTATCCGTTGTGACGGGTAAAATTTTAGATAGATTTAATTGGTAGAATATGAAGTCCATTTTATTGCCACATAGATCTTTATGAAGATCAATTTGTCTATTTTATTGCCATCGATCAATTATGCAAATCATTAGATGTCAATTTTATTGCCTTTGATAATTACGTAGATCATAGATATCCATTTAGTTGCCTGCAGATCTGGCAATTTTATTGACACAGCAACTTTATTGCCTAGTAAGATGGCAACTTTATTTCCTTCGATATATTTAGTTTAGTTTATTTTATTAATTATTCAATATGTATAAATATCTCTGTATTTTCTTTGAGTCTCAGTACTGACGAGATATTAATCTTTTAGGTACCGAACTTATATATTATATTAATAAAGGAGTATAATTAACCAAGTATAAAACTTATCCTTTGCAAACCCTTTGAAACTATTATAAATTATCTGTGTTCCTTTGCATTTGTGCAATTCCTTTTGTTAGTAAACTTATTATATAATATTGTATTGATTCGCTGTATTGACTTGGAGTCTCTGAAGCATAATCTCTGTGCTTATTTGTGTTTATCTCACATAATTTATATTGAGAATAACTCTTCGACATTATTGTGAATCCTCATTCGTGATTTCTTAAATAATTATCTTAGTTTTATTTATCCCTTTTTGAGATCTTATTTGAAGTCACGAAACTAATATGACAACTTTCATATATGGGTTGATTGCTAGGAAAATCAGATTCCAGAAATTTTTTAGCAAAATTGAGATTTTTATTGTATTTTAGTTTTTGATGTTATTAAATTAAAATTTATTGGCTTTAAATTTTAATCAAAAATTTCTTAAAACCTGATTTTCCTAGAAATACTTTTATATGATAGATTTTATTACAGAAAAGATTTTGAAAGTTATTGAAAAAGTTGGATTTGATAAAATTTCCTCAATTGTTTTTGATAATATTATAACAATAGTTTTTACAAAAAAAATTGTAAATGAAAAATATAATCATATTATTCCTATTCATTGTATTGTTTATCATGTCAATTTTTATACAACTGATATTATGAGATATGAATATTCAAAAAATACAATTATGAATTGTATGAAAATTGTCAAATATTTTAGAAAATCTTATAGAGCTGGAGCTTATTTATCTAAGATTTTAAAGAATACTTTAATTAAAAGTGGTGGATTAAAAGGTTATACAAAAATAAGATAGATAACTGTATTTGATTATTTAATATTAATTAATAAAATATTTGTTTTCTATAATAGGTTTTTGATCAACATTCAGAAATCCTTAATAATGAAATTAAAGCTTTATTACAAAATTAAATGTTCTTTCAAGATGTTGACGAGTTAATCAAAATTCTCAAACCTATTAAAGAAGTAATCATCACTTTAGATATAAAAGTACTACTTTAACAGATTGTTTTCTTCAATTAATAAAACTTAAAATAGTTCTCAAATTTTATTCAACTATAACAAACCTTTCATTTTGATCATTTTGTTTAGAAAAATTTAATAAACGTTAAAGACAATTAATTTTGATATTTATTTGTTGGATTATCTTTTACATCCATTATATTAAGATATATTTATAATTTTTAATATATATATATATATATATTAATAATAATAATATTATTATTATTTAGAAAAAGGATTTAAACAAGAAGTTTTTAAAAAAGTTTGCTATTTAGCCATTAAATTTTGGATTTTTATAAGCAGTGGGAAAAATTCATCTAATTATTTAGTAAATTAACTTATAGCTTATAAAAGCTAAATAAAATCTTATAAATTTTTATATGTATTAGAATTATATAGTGTAGAAATTTGGTGGTAAATTATAAAATAAAAGGATAATTTTATTCAAAAATTAGCATTAAAAATTTTTCTATAACATTACATAATATTGGTTATGAAAGAGTCTTTTCAATTTTAGGATAGATGTGTTTAAAACGTTGAATAAAGTAATTTTTATTTTATTTTTATTTTATTTTAATTACATGATTTTATATTAATTATTTTTATATTTAACTATAGTTTAAATATTGAAAGAATGAAAGCAATGATTAAGTTACATACTTATTATATAACAAATGCAAAAACAGAAATTAATTATGTTAATTCAGATTTTACCAAAGAATAACTTTTTTAAGTAATTAATAAAAATTTAAATATTACAGAATTTTCAGATAAGAAAATTAGAAAACAACAAGAAGAATTTAATAATAATGATATTGATAATAATAATAATGAAAATGATCTTGATGAAAATGAAAAAGAAATACCAGAAATAAATAATAAAATAATTATAGAAAATTATTTTGATTTTAATAATCAAGAATTTTAAAAAGTGTTAGAAGTAGATGTAAGAGTAGTTATTGAAGAACCAGT